TGAGAGATATAAGTTTGTCAAAATTGTTTTTTATTTTTTAAAGGCATTAAACATTGTTTTATACCTACCTGAGTGGCCTAATTTTAAAATTGTAACTCCTTTTACTTTCGTCCGCTAGCCACCCCATCACAGTTTCCAAATCCTACTATCATCGCCAACTTCAGGCTTCCAAGGCTACCACATTCTCTTCTGGGTTAAATGAAACTCCAGAAGGAGCCCATTCTCCAAATCTTAACTTCTGCACGGCTGAAGAACGCACCAGTTGTCTTGCAATTGGTTCTTCTCGTGCCTTGGATATCTCTCCTCTTCCCATTGATACTGGCAGCACTTGTGTGTTGCATTCTGCCCCTGGAAACGTTACCGTTTGTATTGCAGAAAGTCAAAGTGTCAGGTGTCCACCTGAAACAAAGAATACCCTGGATCCTGATGGTATGCGTCATTCGGTTCTTGATGCTGGCCTCGTATCTTTGACTCATGATGATGCTTCGCCTCATCAATTGCCACTGCCTTCTTCTTCCTCATCTGCCTCTAGCGCTGCTTCCTCTACTTCTATCTCACCAACCATCCCATCAGGTGGGTTATTATAGGATTGTTATAATGCACAACATTCTTGGCTTACCCATATTCATATCTTCCTGTCCGGATTCAATTTTTTCGCCTTCTCTCTTTGACAAGGTTACAATGTTTTGTCAGAAGATATGAAGACCAAGATAGTGTGGCCCTCGGTATGGTCAACAAGATCAAGATGCGAAAACAAGATCAACCCACTTTTAATACTGTGTTAGTTGATAAATTCGTTGGTCGATAGGGGCATTGTATAGCGTCATGCACTTTTTTCATTGCATATAAGCAAAATTAAAAAATTGCCTATTGAATTTGCTAAGAAGCTTACGGAATTTTTATTTTGTTTGTGCGGATCTGGCCTATTTTATGACTTATACACTCGGTATTACTATTTTGTAAGCTTTTCTGTACATTTGGAAATTTTATAGAGCGACCGTTTGTATTTCTGACTACTATATTGATCGCTTATGAACTTCATACCTACACTGTTGAAGGCTTTATCGTTATCCATCGGACCTCTTGAACGCTGAATATCACTTGATAATTTTATTGCCTTGGTTCTGATATGAAAAAATTGTCTTTTGACTTGCTTTATAGTTTGT